AATGATTTTTACAAAAAAGTATCTTTGTTTGATAAGCCATTAGAACAGGATATTATTAGTTTACAAACTCCCTTCCATTCTGCTTTTAAGTTTTTTATTTTTTCATTTTTTCTTCAAATTTTCTTGATATTTTTCTTCTATAAACTTTTTTATTTTAATAAAGGTTTCCTTAAACCTTTAGATGTGGTTATCGAATAATTAATACAATCATTCTAATTTATTTTTTGTTACCTTATCTTGCTTTTTGTGATTTAAGTTCACTAATTTGTTTCTAAATTTTTCTAACTTTGTAATATATTTTTAATAAAATTTTAAGAGTATTCTTGAGTTAATCGATATGACATTCATATTATTTGGTACTTTTTAAGAATTCATTTAAATCTTTATTAATCTCATCCTAAGTAGATTTATTCTGCTTGTCGCTTTGAGGTTATTTTTGAGAGTTAATTTAACTCATTACCATCATCTAAAATGTAATATTTTTAGATTATTAATTTTAATTTTTCAACTTTATTTTCAATATTTTAATAAAATATTTAATTCTTTCCATTTTGGTATTCAATCAATTTTGTGTCTAGAGATGAACCTTTTTCTATGTTATTCAATGTTTTCAATGCTTCTATAGGTTCTTCCTCATTTAGATCATAAATTGTTAAGCAAATTTATTTATTTAATTATTTGATTCTATTTTCTCTTTAATTAAGGAATCCTCTAGCTCATTAAATTATGAGTTAAAGCTTTTTCTTATCTTTGTAAGTTATGTTTATAACTTTGATTATTAATTTATCTTCTTCTTTTTAAATTTCTAAAAAATTTTACCTTATTCATAATTAAAAGTTGTCCATTAATCATTTAAGTCTTCTATAGTTTTATATTTTTTTGGATTACATAAATCTTCCTTATATCTCTTTATTAGATTCTATTTCAAACATGATCATTTCTTTATCATGTGTCTTACATATATTTTTTTAAATAGGAGTTTTCTAATTCATAATTTATATGATACCTATCATTAGTTGGCTTGATTGGATACAGTTTTCTTCATTTGCTTCATTAATAAGGTACTTTGTATTTTTTATTATTTATAAATAATAAGTATACTAAAAAGAGCTTCAAATTACTTTTGTATTTCATCCATAACTTTATTATGTTCTTATAATTTCTTTTAGTCATCAACCATCTCCTCTGAAAAAATTATAGATAATTCTGTTAGATCTTCTAAGTAATTATTTTTTCCTTCATATTATAATGATTCTATATCTATCCTTTTAAATGTAGAATAATCTTTATTGGATAAAGTTTGTCATTTTATCAAATTTCATATCCAAAAAGCTATTTGAAGATTTGGAATCTCGAAACTATAGTTACATAAAATTCCATAACAAATACCTTAGATAAGCTGCCTGAAAAATCTCTCGGGAGTTTGTTCTCTAGAATTGATTAAAATATTGTCAAGAACTCGTACTAGTCTAAGTTTTTTATTTATAAAAATTCAATTTAATTAATCATACTTGACCCTTCTTACATCTAAGAAATTTATTTTAGTTATTTAAAAATTAAATTGTTCAAATTTAATAATTAAATTGATTCTTCTTTAAATGCCGTATATTTCAATAATAGAGGTATTTATGAGTATTTCTCCCTAAAAATCAATAACATCTAATAAAGATGGATTAATGGCACTAATAGAAGACTTTACGAAAGATCATAAAGCTTATAATTACATCATGATTATTAACTTTTCGTAAAACACAAAAAAATAACAACTTTTTTACTATTCCGTCAATATTAGTGACTTACATTAAAGCCAGCATAATAACCTGGATGTATTTTCTTCAAATTTACTCAAAAATGAATAAATAAATCTTTTCCTCAAATTTAAAAATAATTCAAGAAATATGTTTCGCTTTTTTAAGGCTTTTTTTTTTTGCACTGATTTAAATTAAAGTGTGAGTAGCAACTCCCTAACTTCAAACATAAAAGGAAAAATTTAGAAAGCATACCTTTAGTAAAGGTGGAAAAGAGCTCAAAATTAAGTCTAGTTATAAAAAGCATTGTTTTAGTGGAAACAATAGAAAAAAAAATATTCTGCAGAGATACTAGCCCTTTTTCAAATTAGAATTAATTCATTCTTACTTAACCTAGCTGTATTTATGATATTTGATTCTACAGTTAATAGACTTTATGGATATGTGATGAAAAAGTTTTAGAAACAAACAAAAGCTTTATTATAAATAGGTAGTAGAATGAAACTTTTGTATTGCTATTTATAGAATTAAATGATCCTAAAAATATTATAATTTTATTAAACAGGTTGCCTAATTTTGTTTATACTGTAAAAGGATTGGGAGGATTTTTTAAAATAAATTTTTTTATTAAAATATGTAAGATTCTGTATTAAAAACTGATCTATATATTTTGAAGATTATCAAAAATGAAAGGTTTTTAATCAGATTGAAATATCTTAATTAAAATCAAAAAAATTGAATTTAAAACAAAATAAGTTCTATAATTTAGAGAAGTCAAAGAGAGACTCCTAAATATTTTCAAAAATTTTGGAAGTATGATGAATAGTTTAAATAATTAATTAGTTTTGGCTAATAATTAGAATTAAAATTGTTATAATTTGTATAATTTGAATCGTAATCTGCATTTAAAAAAAATTTATATATCTAAAAAGAAGATATAAAGAGTTTTCTAATCTATTAAAATCAATTTTTAAATGATGTTTGAAGATATCAAAGCAACTCTTATCGATGAGGAAGTATTGATATTGCAAAAGGTTATTAGAAATATCATGTTGTTATAGTGAAGATTATATTTAAATACATTAAATTCTATTTTATATAATTAATTTTATAGATTAAAAATAAAGTGAATAATCATTTTGAATTGAAATTTTATCAAATACAATCTCAAAAATGCAAACACTACCAATAACAAATTCCTTGCAAAAATATTAAAATCTATTCTTCATATCTCTTCTGATTGATTATTTTTTAAACCTACCCAAAATAACCCTATCCAATTTTATATCTTTTATTGAATCTTCCGTATTTTACATATCCTTTCTAATTATTTCAATTTCTTACTCTCAGTTCTAAATTATCATCACTGCTTTTTTAATAATGTTTCAGATTATTTTTTTCCTAAATCTTTCTTCATATCATTGTATTTTGTCCCTTATTTGAGAATAAAATTAGATGCTTTACCCTATTAATTATGTTAATTTTATTTCATCATCTTTAGGATATAAGTGGGTGTATTAAATAGGGAATTAAAGTGATTATAAATATGATTATAGCATAGAGAATTATTAAGGCATTGGTGATATAAACCTTAACAATAAAATAGGCATAACTCAATCAAAAAAAAAAAATTAAATTAAAGAAATTTGATTTATTGCTTCAATAAAATGTTATTAAGAGTTGAAATAGTAATTTAGAGCATTCAAGCTAGAGTGTAGTTAGTTCTCAAGCAAATTATTTTTCTTTTGGATATTTATACAAAATTAGGAAGTTTAAAATTTAATAAAATCTATATCTAAAAGACAAATGGTTAACTTAAAATGTTAACAATTATTT